AGTGGCCTATTTTCTGAAATGGCGCCCTCTAGGACCATTAAAACTGTCAGCCCCTAGCCATGCTTTGACTGAGGAGTACGAAATCTGGTACACTAATGTGGTGTCTCCGGTCCTACAAAAAAGTCTCTTGGAGCCAAGTGCAAAGTCGCACAGGAAGTCGGCCATTTTGGTCCAAGTAGTCGATTTAGTGGTTTTCGCACACGTTGTTTGGAGAGTGTTACACCATTGCCCTTTTCACCAATCACCTTCAAACTTCTGCTATAGTTTCTTAAGACAAAGGGGAAAAAATTCAACCTACGGATTTTAAATAAGTATAAAGGTGTGGGCGTGGCTAAGCCTCAAACTTTGACCTGTCGCCACGCCACTATTTTTTTCACAGCTCCCTATTGGACTCCTTTTAACCAATCACCAGCAATCACTGGCAAATAGCAGCAGACAAGTTGAGGTCACTTGGTCTATAGTACTGGCAGGTTTCGAATAAAGGCGGGGCTTTGGGAGCATGGCGAAATTCGCCATCACGCCATGGAAATACGTTTGTCTCTCATTTCTTCAATCATTGTGACATCGCCACACAATTTCTGATGAGTGATCCTACTCTGACCCCTAATAGAATTGGACAGCTGAAGTTTGTGGGCGTGGCCTATTTTCTGAAATAGCGCCCCCTAGGACCATTAAAACTGTCAGCCCCAAGCCGTGCTTTGACTGAGGATCACAAAATTTGGCACACTAATGTAGTGTCTCAGGACCTACAAAAAAGTCTCTTGGAGCCAAGCGCAATGTCGCACAGGAGGTCGGCCATTTTGGTCCAAGTACTCGATTTAGTGGTTTTCGCACACGTTATTAGGAGAATGATGTCTCGTCGCCCTTTCCACCGATAACCTTCAAACTCTTGCTATATACTCTTAAGACATAGAGGAAAAGATTCAACCGTCAGATTTTAAATAAGTATAAAGGTGTGGGCGTGGCTAAGCCTCAAACTTTGACCAGTCGCCATAACGTTACTTGACTCAATAACTCCCTTGTGCATGATCAGATCAATTTCAAACTTTGTCCGTGTGATCACTGACCACATCTGAAGACAGTGACAATGTGGACAGCTGGCATCACCTAAGCCCCGCCCCCTGACTACAGGAAGTCTTCTGTTTTATGGTGAAATGCCCATATTTGTCCCCTCTAATTTAGTCAACATGACACTAAGGTCATGCACTGTCTTCAAGATGTTGTAATGACTATTCAGATCTGATAGCTTTTCAGAAAGGGAGGAGCTTTGATGCCATGGCGATTTCTGGCGTCACGCTGTGACCTTACGTTTGACTGTAACTTCCACAAACAGCCTCCGATTTGCCAGAGACTGAACATCACATCACCAGTGTGGTAAAGATAGAGTATCTCCTAGTGGTGAGACGTGTAATGCTGGGCTCAGAGGGGATGCTGAATCAGGGTGAGGTGTGGACGAGGAGGCCGTTCACGGTTTCTGGTGTCGGGGTGGTTGACTTTCTGTTCTGCCAGACGTGCCCTGGTGCCCCCGGCTGCCGGCGAGGATGGACAAGCGCGGAGCTGGGTTTGGAGAGCGTCGGGGATGGAGCGGAGGGGGTGCGGAAGGAGGGCGAGCAGCTTCGCTGCGAGGGCCGAACGACGCTGCTTGCAGCTTTAATTACGCTTTCTTTCTTTCTTTTTTCTTCCGCGTCTTTGACTGGCCTTTAGGGGGTCTTAGCATATCCAAAAAGTCACCAAATTCTGGCCCAATATTGAAAGTGCGTGAAATTTACGTATTTCACTGGCAATGTGAAAGTTCATAAAAGAATGGCTGAACAGCGCCCCCTAGAAAGTGAAAAATACCCCTCTCCATAAAGCTTAGTTTATCGTACAGTTATGAAATTTGGTACACTTGTAGAACTCAACAATACGCACAGAAAAGCCTCTTGCATCCATGGTCAATATCAAACAGGAAGTCGGCCATTTTGGACTAAAGTGGCCATTTTGACCCTGTTTCGGCCATTTCTTGGGTCTATATTTGGTTGAACAGTTTGGTCATTTTTCGCACGATCGTCTCAAAAATAGTGTGCGATCGAACAGAAGCGACGGACGATTAAAATGAGACAATAAAATTGACTTTTCGTAAATACTGAAGGGGCGGGACCAGGCCTCAAAGTTCGAGCACTCGCCAAAAAAATTCAAATTGCTATAATTTCATAAATGAAAGAATTACAGTTAAAGTAACTTTCTATGGACAATCATCATCGCCCCCCGAAGACAAATGAATGGTCAATTGATGATGTCACATAAGCCCCGCCCCTTCAGGACTTAAAAGGTCAAGTTTTACTGGGAAATTTTCCAAAATTTGCCCTTTCAAATAATCATCCCAAATTTGTATCAGGTAACTGAAGACAAGTTGGGGTTGCTTGGCGTCACTTTATGGGAGTTTTCTGCAGAAGGCTGGGCTGTGGCGGCGCGGCGAACTCAGGCGTACCACTTAGGCCTTACGTTTGCCTCCCATTTCGTCATTTCTAGAGATATCGCCACGAAACTTCTTGTGAGTGATCCTAGTCCGGCCCCCCAAAAAATCTGATGTGACATTCCGGTGGGCGTGGTCTATTTGCTGAAATAGCGCCCCCTAGGACCATTAAAACTGACAGCCCCAAGCCATGCTTTGACTGAGGATTTCGAAATGTGGTACACTAATGTGGTGTCTCAGGACCTACAAAAAAGTCTCTTAGAGCCAAGTGCAAAGTCGCACAGGAAGTCGGCCATTTTGGTCCAAGTGCGTGATTTAGTGGTTTTCGCACACGTTGTTTGGAGAGTGATGCTCCGTCGCCCTTTTCACCAATCGCATTCACACTTCTGCTATATACTCTTAAGACATAGATGAAAAAATTCAACCGTCGGATTTTAAATAAGTATAAAGGTGTGGGCGTGGCTAAGCCTCAAACTCTGACTTGTCGCCACGCCACTCTTTTTTTCACAGCTCCCTATTGGACTCCTTTTATCCAATCACCACCAAACAGTGGCAAATAGCAGCAGACAAGTTGAGGTCACTAGGTCTATAGTACTGGCAGGTTTCGAATAAAGGCGGGGCTTTGGGAGCATGGCGAAATTCGCCATCACGCCATGGAAATACGTTTGTCTCTCATTTCTTCAATCATTGTGACATTGCCACACAATTTCTGATGAGTGATCCTACTCTGACCCCTAATATAATTGGACAGCTGAAGTTTGTGGGCGTGGCCTATTTTCCAAAACAGTGCCCCCTAGGACCATTAAAACAGTCAGCCCCAAGCCATGCTTTGACTGAGGATCACAAAATTTGGCACACTAATGTAGTGTCTCAGGACCTACAAAAAAGTCTCTTGGAGCCAAGCGCAATGTCGCACAGGAGGTCGGCCATTTTGGTGCAATTACTCAATTTAGTGGTTTTCGCACACGTTATAAGGAGAATGATATCTCCTCGCCCTTTCCACCGATCACCTTCAAACTCCTGTTATATACTCTTAAGACATAGAGGAAAAAATTCAACCGTCGGATTTTAAATAAGTATAAAGGTATGGGCGTGGCTAAGCCTCAAACTTTGACCAGTCGCCATTACTTTATTTGACTTAATAACTCCCATGTGCATGATCAGATCAATTTCATACTTTGTCTGTGTGATCACTGACCACATCTGAAGACAGTGACAATGTGGACAGCTGACATCACCTAAGCCCCGCCCCCTGACTAAAGGAAGTCTATTGTTTTATGGTGAACTGCCCATATTTGTCCCCTCTAATTTAGTCAAGATGACACTAAGGTCATGCACTGTCTTCATGATGTTGTAATGACCATTCAGATCTGATAGCTTTTCAGAAAGTGAGGGGCTTTGATGCCATGGCGATTTCTGGCGTGACGCTGTGACCTTACGTTTGACTGTAACTTCCACAAACAGCCTCCGATTTGCCAGAGACTGAACATCACATCACCAGTGTGGTAAAGATAGAGTATCTCCTAGGGGTGAGACATGTAATGGTGGGCTCAGAAGGGATGCTGAGTCAGGGTGAGGTGTGGACGAGGAGGCCTTTCACGGTTTCCGGTGTTGGGGTGGCTGACTTTCTGTTCCGACAGGCATGCCCTGATGCCCTCGGCTGCCGGCCAGGATGGAGAAGCGCTGAGCCGGGTTTGGAGAGCGTCGGGGATGGAGCGGAGGGGTGCTGAAGGAGGGCGAGCAGCTTCGCTGCGAGGGCCGAACGACGCTGCTTGCAGCTTTAATTTATGTGTATTTTTACTTAAATTTCCTCTAATATCAACATTCCATTGAGAGAACTCCCTTTACTCTTTTTGTAAGTTTTTTTTCCTTAATTTAAAAACTAAATGGAGACAAAATGTTTTTCAAAAACTGACAACAAACCTCATCTAGCAGATTTTTAGGGAAGAGAAAAAGAGATCTTTGACTAAAAATCTCTGGAAAAAGGTCAGGTGTAATGTTGAAGCTCTGACATTTTTATCAAACTTCTAAAAAGAATAAACAATGAAGGACTCAACTGAATTATTTTACTGTTCTTTAATGTGCTTTAAAAGGGTTTGATTCGCATGTATCTAAAACGAGACAACCCCAGCACCTGGTCTGTTAGAATCCTCTTTGGGCTTTAGCGTGAACCGGTCTAATTCCTTGGATCAGCATTTTATTTTACCGCGAGACTGGGAACAAAACGGCCAGTCACCTTGAACAGGCTTTAAGCCACGAGTAAATGCTTTCAGTCAACAGTTTTCTCCACCGCGCTCATCTGTCTCACCTCTGTGCCGTTTCCTGTGGTAGTTTTATTTTTTTTTTTGTGGTGATGCGTGCGCTCCGGACCTGCGTGAAGTTCCACCTGATAGTTTACCGTATTTTACTTGGAACTAGAACTAATTTTCTCATATCAGAAATAGAAAGATGTGCAAGGAGTTCAAGCTCTAATTTACAATAAAAGCATAGAGAGAGCTAACAGCTGATCAACTGAATAAACGTAAAAACAAAAACAGAAGCTCACTGTCGTATCTCGTTGCTGTGGTCCAGGTGGCTGGCAGTACGGTCTCTCTTCACTAAAGATGCCTCAAATCCTAGTTTCTACAAACAACAAACAGCTGATCAGTTGAATGATCTCTGAATACACAGCACCTTTTCTCAAATCCATCACTCACTCAGGTTAAAACTGTAGGAACAGAAAAGCTATGAAGTCTCAAACGTACCTGAATTAGCTTTATGATGTCTCGTGGCCCTATAATTTCGGAGTCGTACTTGACATGTGCTTTGTTGGTTGCCAGGGCAACAGAGGCATATATAATCCCCTTTTCTCTCATGAGGCTGGATTCAATTTTATGAACACAAGAGGCACACGTCATCCCCCTGACCTGAAACGAGGTGAGGAGGAAGAGACGAGTATGACATGAGACACAAGCACATCTCTCTCCATCTGTTTTAATCTGTAACACGAACATTTATTAATGGATTCTATTTTGTGGAAATAAATAACACAGCAGCCCTTTAACTCACCACAAGCTCTAGGTTTCTGTCGGAGCCTTCGTAGTCCTCCATCACAGAGGCGGTGAAGCCCAGCTCTCTTATGCACTCTGCTATCTTCAGCGGGTCGGTTACATCCGGGTTAAAGCGGACCTCTGCTTTACTAGCCATCAGTGCAACGAGAACCGAGTAAATACCTGAACAAAGGGAGAGTTTCAGTGTGATGTTCAATAACAGTGGAAAGATACTTGGTTTAAAGAAGTTAATTATCAGTTATTTGGTTAAAGAGCAAGTCACCTCCTACAAGAAACTTACTTCACTCCCTCTTGTTTGAAAAATGCAACAAATGCTGTTGCCTGGCAGACCGAGAGGGCAGAGCTGCTAACAAATACACACACACAGGCTCACAACGGCATTGTGACATCATAATGTACCAGTTTACATCATAGCATACCTCTTAGCCAATAGCGGTGGCAGATTTAAACTCAAGTACAGTGCAGAGTTTTAACCTGACGACGGCACAACACTGCCACTTTTAGGCAGAATATTTACATTTTAACTAAGATGCACTGAAGTACCAAATTATTGACGACACGAGTCTGCAGTACGATTAGACACACATTTATTTAGTTTATCAGGGGAAAAAAGTTGATTTGGGGGTGACTTGCTCTTTAATTATGCAACCTGCTGGGTTTTCAAACTTTTAACTAGTGGCCATAATGACTTGAACTCGGTGCGCTGATAAGTAGGTTCAGCTGGAATGTTTACTTTGTAAAGCGCCTTGAGCTGACTCTTGTTGTGATTTGGTGCTATATAAATAAACTGAACAGAAATGTACACACCAGGCTCATTCTTGACGTTTCGCTCGATGTTTGACACACAAGACGCACACGTCATGCCTCCGACCTGGATGAAGCACTTGGAGGGCGTATCTCCGGTGTGTCCCTTTGGCGTTTCGCTGTGACGGTCACCGTCAAACTCACTCCCCAGAACAGGCAATGCACTTGAAGATTTGGAACAGACAGCATCGGGCGCAGGCAGCAGAGAATTGGTCTCTGTTTTAAAGAAACATTTAAATAGTTAATAGCAGGAAGTCGTGACTTTCCCCTCTTGACTTAGCAGTCCTATCATCCACTTGTAAGAACAGTTATTTAAGAGGAGCCTGGGTGCAATAAAACTTTCAAATATCAGCGAGTACTCCATTATGAGTTCATTTACAACTGCACCAGCTACACTCTTACCAGGCAGAGTTGCATCAAAGTCGATGTCCTGTATGGCCGCTCTCAGCTCCTCCGGTGTGGTCAGGAGAGGATCATATTCAAAGGTGCCCTGATGATCAACCAGAGAGACCTTAGCAGACATCACCCCCTTTCTTTGGGCGATCACACTTTCGATGGACTGCACACAGGAGTTACACGTCATGCCTTCGATGTGAATAACGACTACGGATGCCAGCGGCTGGCTAAAGCAAGGCTGTAAGGCTTGTGTTGCTCGTGCAGGCTGTGATGCTGATGAAGCAGGAGGAAGTGATGTCAATGCAGCACTGAGAGCACATCTGTCCTCCCAGAGCTCAGTCTTAAACTGTCCTGGAGGCAGTGCTTCTATGGCACTCTGCAGCTGGGTCACTTTGATCTTTAGAGGATCGTAGCAGATGGTGGCCTTCTCTTTCTCCAGAGACACCTCCACAGAAGAGACGCCAGGCACCACTGAGATGTTGTCTTGAATATTGGCCACGCAAGAACGGCAGTGCATGCCTTTTACCCTGAGCAGCACGCGTGCTGTGTCTATAAATATTTCTGTCTCCGACGGTGATGACTTTTTCGGGCTTTGTGAATTGACAAAACGTTCAATTTCTTGAGGGGAGAGTAGCAGAGGGTGGGGCTTGGATTTAACAGTGGCCTTGAAGCCAGCCACAGCTATCTGGTCGAGGATGGTTTGAATAGCAATGAGGTAAGGCATGTAGACGACCGTGGCTTCCTGAGACTCTAAAGCAACTGTGCAGAGAAATGACAAAGTTAGCACACAAAAACAAACAACAACACACTTAAATACTGTGTTTGTAACGTGTTTAACTTTCCAATTCAAGTTTGCTCAAGTTATACATGTCAAATAATTAAAAAATCTACATTCTATATTACAGCATTAAGGGGTTGGATTGGGGAGTTAACCACCAAATATTTCCTCGAGTGCAGCCAGTGCTGCAGCTCACCCCTCTGGGATGGGTCAAATGCGGAGATGTAATTTCACCAGTGTGTGATGATGACTAATGACCCCACTTCCCCATCCTGTTTATTTCTGTGGCTAATAATGGCAATGGAGGTTGAAGGTGTTTTTTCATGTTCAGCATAAATATGCAACTCAGATTGACCAATCATATTTCAAAACGACCAAGTATAACACGGTTTCTCGGTCAACAAGAGCCTTTACACCATAATGGGCACAATGAGAGAATCCCAGGAGGGCACAACTGCTGACAGAACAAAGTGAGCAAAAACAAACAAAAACAACCTACGTTCCTCCTAAAAGCCAAAAACTCTGCTGACTGGTATAGAAGTTACAGAATTATCTTGGTTGTCTTAAAGTTTGAACAACAAACTGTTAATGCTGCCATCCTCTTAGTCCAGGCCAGTTTCAATAGTTAGTTTTTCAACTAACTGAACCACAATTCAATAAAATGCCTGTTCAGTCATAGAAAATCAACTAATTATTAAGTATTAAGTTATTTCTGACCTCTGTAGGGTTTATCCAAATCTGCATATGGAATTATATCCTTTCTATTTGAATGCAAAGGCTTTCCACTGATGGTTGGTCGCTGTCAGTTTAAAGGTATAAAATGAGTTTACAACACACTCGATACACGCACTTCAAACACAATGGCGTGTACGTGCTCAGCAGACATTATCCTCTCGGTCTACATATACCTCCCTCCAACCATACTGGTGAAAGGATTCCATGAGTCACAGACAAATCCTACAAAGCAGCTCTCCGAGGACACAATGACATGACACCAATGATCTATGAGATGTGCAATGCAGCAGTTGTGTTCTAATATCTCTTGTAGCTCTGACGGTCAAGTACATCACCTTTAATCTTTTCAATCCCTTTCAGTTTTCCAATCTTCCCTTCGATGGTGGTGGTGCAACTGTGACAGGTCATTCCATTGATGCATAACTTGAGAATTGCTGCTCTGTTCACAGCAGTGTCTGATGGGGACGATTTAAGGCCTACTTGTACGGGACTGCCAGGAGTTTGGATCTCCAGGGGCGATGCACCAGGCACTGCCCCCCTCAGCTGCTGTACAGAAGTCAGGGAAGGAACAAAAGTGACAGTGAGACCCACCAGCGGCTTGGTCTCTCGGACATCCAGCACTCCCTGAATTTGTAAAAGCTTTTCTATAGCTTCTTGTTGGGCTGCAGGTGTCAAATCTGAAGTGGGGATCAGGTGTGTGTCTGTAGACACTGGTGTGACCGAGCTGCTCTCTGGCACGCTGGACTCAAAGCCCATATCCTCGATTGCCTCTGCCAAAGACTCTGGGCTTTGTTTACTGTTGTCAAATATGACTGTGGCACTCTTCTTCTCCAAAGACACCTACAAAGTAAAAGCTATAGGTTAAAAACCACAATGTAAATATTTACATGGAAGCAGAGCTGTAAACTGTATTCATTTAAAAACATATCTGAACTATAATGCTACTTCAATCGTTACAATGATCCCTTAATACCAGTGTGTTTCATAGTTTCGACTGTTCAGCTGGGTATTTATATAAACTTCCTTATTACATCAACTTCCTCTAAAGCCTGTACAAAGATTATTTGGATAACCAACAAAAGTCTAACAGCTTCAGGCTACTACCAATCTACTGCCTACTATGCATCTATTCTCTCAACATAAAACTGGTGAAATGAGTGCATGGCCTTGGGAGGTTTACAGCTTGTTCTGTCAGCACGATGACGCTCACTTTTCCTACTTGAGCAAGAAAAGAAACATGTGACACACAGAAGGGATCACCTGACATTGCAATAAGTTGAAAAAACAAAACAAAACTGAGAAGCAGAGTCTGTTCTTAAAACCACACACTAAGAAAAGAAGCTATAAGGGGAAAAAATTGATTTCCTCCCTGTAAATCTTTTCTAGACAGATAGGCAAAATGATCCAGGCTCTAAATTCTCTTAAGACAATTTCCTGTGATTGCAGACAACATATCGACCCACTGTCAGAGTCCTGCAAGGGCCAGAGAACTACCAGGAACACACGATTACATTATCTTTTCATTCAAACTTAGCCTGAGGGGTAAACATACAATAAACAAAACAGCAGACCATTAGTCTTGGAATTAAGCGGTCTCACGTGGTCCCATTAATGTCACTCAGCTATAATCAGCCCAGTGGGAGTAAACCAGCAAGATCAGTCAAGCTCCACTACTGACACGAATAAATAGCTAACAAAATAAACTAATGCATGACATCAAGATTCTTAAACTTATTTAGGAATAAAGACAACAGCATTACAAAACTGATAAGATCCTGGTCATAAATGTAGAAGTGCAGTTAAAAAACCTGAAGTCATCAAATTTGAAAAACAGCACACTCAAATACAGAAGGAAACGCTGACTGACATTCATATGTGACTGTTACCTTTATATGCATCACCCCATTGAGTGACCCGATCCGTTGTTCTATGGACCGGACACAGGAACCACACGTCATGCCCTCAACTCTGAGGGAAACTGAACAAAGGTTGACTTTGTGTGTCATGACTGCTTTTCCTAAAATCACAAAAACAAAACATATATTTAGCTTTAAAACAAGAACATGAATGTCAGAACATAAAAAGTTATGATAGAATTTCACAACTCAAAAAGTGATAACATCCAATTACCACAGCATGGTTCAAAAACTATGACACAGCTTGAAGATTCATACAGGTGTTCCAATCTATACAGTGTGAACATCAGTGTGACACTAACAGCCAAATAGTTTTATTTTCCATTACATTTGTGCACGGTGGTTTTGGGTTTGGTCTCTGCATGTGGTTATCATGCATTTTCCAATCAAATCCATTTTTAAATGCTTTGCTTTAAAATCTGTCTGGTAGCAACAATTTTAATATTGTATCTTTTTTTTGTAGCATTGTAACTTTAAATTAATGAAACGTAATTACACAGTACTGCTACAAAGAATTAAAGGAAAAATCTCTAACCATTTTCAAACCCAGTTTATGCAACTTACAATTTCAATGATACTGTTAATTTGTAATCATGTCTAACGTTCAGTCGTGTTTGCTTTATTTATCTGCTTGGACACATTTGTTTGCTGCATCGGGACCTTTACAGGATCGTCTTCATTCCTGCTATCAGTCTTGAAGGCAGACGTGCTTTAAAGCATCCTTCTAGATTAGTGTCCTTGTCAGACACGTTAGGACGATCTGAACCAAGATCAGAAACAGCAACGATGAACTATAATTTCACCAATCTGATGCTATACATCAGTCAGTAACTCAGTTATACATCATTAACTTGGGTACAGCACATTGTAAAATAAGTAAAATTAAGTTTTAGCATTTATTTAGCTTAGAAGGTGATTAAGATATTTCCACTATCTTATTGTAGAAGTAAGTGATTAGCAATAAAACCCAATTTGGCATGTATACTCGTCACTGTTATTTACTTTGCCTTAAACAAAAGTCGGCTTAGCTTTAAGAATACATTTTTCTGATTACATAAACAAACAAACAAAAAATAACATCCATTTAAGATACGTTTATTGAAATTTTGAAAAGAAAACTCATTTATTTCTTACCTTGAGATAAAAACAACCGGTTAGGTGTAGGCTGAACAACGTCAACTGTCAGAATGAGTAGCTAACTGAAGCTAATGAGCTAGTTAGCATGTTGTCTTTCTTCTTATTTTGAAGTCATCTACGCAGACACATCGTTTCATGGTGCCGAATGTGTAAAAGAACCCAAAATGATCATACGAAAGATCCTTCTAGATTATCTGTTCCTGTTAAAACCCCGTGTTTGTGTTTCTTTTTCACCCAGCAGAGTGCCGATCACACTCTGGTGCGTGACGTGCATCAGCGTCAAGGGGCGGAGCCTTAAACGAGAAGTAGAAGTAGTTTTAGCTGGGTTAATTTTGCCCCAGGTCTATCCTTAAGGCTGAAATAGTTTCTTGCAACGTCCACGACGGACAAACCTTTAAGTTTACTGTGTTCAAATATTCTCCATCTGTGTGTATTATTTCTAGTTTAATATACACACAGAGCAGGTGGATTAACCAACTACATGTTAAAAGTATGACTGAAGAATTCGTGTGGACCTACAAAACAAGACTCGGGAAAGTAATAATTGTTTTGTCTCTTCCAGTAAATGTGGATGAGCCATGATTTGACTCTTGACCCTTCCCCCTGGACCCGATGTTCTGATGATGGTTTTTTTTTCTTCTTCAATGTTGTGACAAAATTCTGATAATTTCTCATTTTTAAACCTTTTCAATCTTCAGAGCTGTAAATCTGAAAACACATTCAAGTGCACAACTGATCAGATCCATTTCAGATGTTGATAGCCCGACAGAAAAGATTAATTAGAATCTGAAAACCACATTTTGTCTTTGTCACAAGAAGCACCAAACTAGTACAGGAGTGGATGATTTACATAAGTTTGTTAGTTTCAATGTAAAATTTTGTTGCTAGTTATTATATCAAAACACAAAAGTGTAAAACAAATATTAAAGGTCATATTTCATGTAAAATCCACATTTTGGAGCTTTTGACCATGTTTTGTTTTTATTTCCACATGAAAAACATCCACAAAGCATTTTTTGTCATCACACATGCATTTTTCTGTAACAGCTGCTTCTTTCCTTCAGTTCTTCAAAATTTTGCTGAGCTTTTGAATTCAGGTGGACGAGGTTGTTGTTGCGTCACCATCCCACTCCTCCCCACATAGGTAGTCTCTCGAGTCCGGATCCCTCCTCCCCTGGACTGTATGCCCAGTCTCTCAGTGTCGCTAGCAAGGAGTTTAATCTCCACAGTCTGGAAGAAGTGATTTCTTTCTTATCTAATCTGCACTTTAAATAAAGCCTAGAACCCAAAAATGGATTTTTGCCTGCAAGAGGAACAGGAGAAATGGTTGGATTTTATCTTCAGGAGCTCTCAAAAACCAAGGCAGAATATGTTAAACCATCACCAGTACCAGACTCGTTTTTCAAATGGATTATTTCTTCAAACCAGTGCTATTCCACTCACAACCAAAATGCTAACCGCTAGCTGAATGGTTATAAAGTTTGGTGGGTGCAGCATCAGAGACAAACTGGGACAAACTGATTGGAGCTGGATATCTGCTACCATGTCAGCTGCCTTTTCTTCATTTGAGTGGTGTGTGTGTGTGTGTGTGCGTGTGCAAGTGGGGCATGATGGTGAATGTGCAGCAAGCCTGAATCTGCTGTCTCCAGATCTGCAGCTGAGTACTATTGTGAAATTCACTGGGGAGGTGGGGTTTGATCAAATCCAAGCATTTAATTTCCAGGTAGAATTAAGGAGTCACAAAAATAACCTGTATTCCATAAAAAAAATGACATCTCAATAGTGCCATATATCATTCCTACTGTTGCTATGGAAGGTTTAATATAGCAGGATACACCCCCTTAAAACAACCTCCATTATATGAAAAGGATGTCAGACTGCAAATGTTACCGTTTTCCATTACACTTACATTTGAAATTTGTTATTTATCTGGCTGAAGCACATTTTTCTGCCACCATTATTCATTATATTATTTTGCTTTATTAGTTTCCTGTCTCTTGCTCCACACACATGAATGCAAAATGTCATGCCTACCAAGTATCGACACAGGTGGTTAGATCAACCTCCTTTTGACAAACCAGCAAAGGCTCAGTACTAACACTCTCACTTCCATACTTTTGTGTGCAGACATGAATATTTCAATGGCCCAGTCCCAACACCCAAACTGCAGTCTATGGTCCAAGAAGTTCACTTGGAGGACGTGCAGGCTTCTAGTGTGTAGTAAACAAGTCTGCAAATTACTGTAGATTTGGAACAGTGAGGATTGCGTCTTCGACGTGACTTTGTACATGGGGACGCCACTCGCTGTCTGTGCTAATTTGCTGCTTGAAATGATAATAAAACTGAATGAAATTAAACAAGTGATAAAAGCTACAATGGACAATTTTTGCATTTACACTTGAAAATCCATCATTTTGAAAAGGGGTGTTTTTAATCTAAAGGATTTGTAACCTGGAATTTCAGAGAATAGTAAAAGTAAATCCTCTTAATTGATTTTATTTTGCCCAAATTTAAATAAAAACAAATGAAGCTGAAATTGTGACAACGTGACTGATCGGAGCATCGTAGAGAAAAGCAATTTAAAGTAATCTAATCTACCTTAAAAACACAGGCTAGCTTGACACGATTTGAAATCATCACAAAGCCAAGAAGGCTCATTGAGACTTAACTCAGGATCAGATAAGAATGAATAGCATAACTAAAACTTCCTTTATCTTCATTAAGTCTTAGTTCTACCATCTCTCATTATTATTTTTCATACTGATGGAGGTCAAGTCATGACAGGGCAGGAAAAGCTTGCAATGACAGCATTTTATTTGTTTTGTTTACAGCTAAACAACAATTCTCTTGGGGTGTGGTACTTTTTCACAGCACTCTCACACACATGCTCACACTTTGACACACTGACCTACTTTCTCTGAACCCGTGCACATAGGATCTTGTGCTCACAGCAAACGGATCAAGTCTGCAGTTAGTAGTAGTTCAGTATTTGAAATGTGCATGCTCCAACAGAGAGACTGCACTAACCAGAGGGAGTCTTTAAAACACAGAAAGGCTGGGTTGGCTTTGTTTTTGTGCTGTTCATCTCCTGTTGCTGCAGATGTATAGTCTGCGTCTGTGCAGCACGGTGGGAGAGTGAGAAGCAGATCCATGTTTTCCTGAGCTCACGTGTACCCGCTGCATCAGTCGCCAAGCTGTCACTGAAGTAAAGAGAGCTTATTATGGGAGCAGCCCCTGCTGTCCTATATCAGCAGCAGCCTGCCTCTCTGCACTCACCTTCAGTCAGGGCGATCTCGGGCTCCAGAAAGCAAGATCTCTGATCAGAGTAATGCTTTTACTCCTGTCAGGTAAGGCACGAAGACGTTCATTTGTTGGAGTAATGATGTTTGCTTGAAGCTCTGTTTTCTGCTTGTGTGTCAGGAGTGGGTGTACCAGTGTGTTTGTAACTGTTGTATGGGTTTGTTGGTGTGTTTATGTTGTGTGTTTTATTGTTGCCAATATTTCTTCTGTAGTGCCTTTGATGAATGGAAGGGTTATCACTGGTTTAAGTTGTTGTTTTTCTGGATTTTTGGTTCTTTTTTTGGTTCTTTTCTTTCTGTTGTTGTTTATTGTTTTCCTTTGTTTATTGCCCATGTCGGGTATCTGCGGGTTTTTAAAGTGTTTTGTTTATGTTGGTCCTCTTGTCTAAGGTCTCGTTCCTCTGTTATTATTTGGTGTTGTTGAAAAGTTTAAACCTTATTTTGTCATATGGTTTCTTCAGACCCATGAGTTTTTTGTGGCGTTATCCTGTTTTTCTTTTTCTTGTTGAAGAGTTTAGCTAACTTCTTTATGTGTCTTTGTTTATGGCCGTGCTGAAGTGTTTCCTGCCGCCACTGGAAGACAGAGTTGGATTTTGTTACATGAGAACGGACACTTGAGCATTCTGCAGAAAAAGATGTTTACTTTTAAATCAGGTGTTGGAGATGAGTTATAGCAGTTGTGTGTGTTTGTAGCTATACTCCTTACATGAGTATACTCTGAACTGAACTGGGAATCTGCTGTCGCAGTAAAAGCTTATAAAGTCAAAGGTCCATCAAAAAACACGCCCTTTCTGGTTTTTATGCTAAAATTTGAAACTAAGATGGTCTTATGTTGAGAAATGATACAATTATAGGTGCTTTTGTCAAATCTTGCCAATAAAATGATGCTTGATCGGAAGATCTGTTTGTTGGAGTACATGTTGTGAATTTCAGCTGTCAAATTTAAGCTTATTAGGAGTACAGCTGACTGAGCTTTAGCATTTTTCACAATAACAACACTCATATGATGTGTAAGCTGCTTACAAATGATGCTACACACTTAGTGTAGTCTAGTAATGATGATTCATCTTGATTTGTTGGTGGGGGGTGGGGGGTGGGGGTTGGGGGGGCTCAAAGGAAGGGCCCCACAAAGGCTTGGCCCTATCCATGGCCCTTCTGCATGGAGTTAGCATGTGTGGGCTTTCTCCAGGCACACAGACCAAAAACATACACGTTAGGTTACTGTGCATGACTCTAAATCGTCCCCAGGTGTGATTGAGTGACTGACTGCGTGTCTCTGTGATGGACTGGCGACCTGTCTAGTGTGTCCCCCACCTCTCGCCCAATGACCGATGAAGACACACTCCAGCTCCTGAGATGATGAAGCAGTTCAAAAAAACTGGATGGATGGACTTTTATGCTTTTGGTTAAAGTATTCCCTTTCTCTTGTCCCGCAGCGATCGTGCCTGTTTCAAAATGAAACGAAGAAGAACCTCGAACCTCACATCCAAATGCCACACCTTCCCCTCCCATAAAGAACCAGCCAAGAGACAGAAAAGACCGACATCCAGTTTGACGCCATTTCCAGTGCGAGATTGGGGTAACCTCCCCCATCACGTGGTTCTGCAGATCTTCCAGCACCTGTCTCTGGTTGACCGAGCGCGGGCCTCGTCTGTGTGCCGGTGCTGGAACAGCGTGTTTCACACCCCTGACCTGTGGAGGAGGTTTGAGTTTGAGCTGAATCAGCCGGCCACCTCTTACCTGCGCTCCACCCACCCAGACCTCATTCAGCAGATCATCAAGAAGCACGCACAACACCTGCAGTACGTTAGCTTCAAAGTAAGAGACTCCGCTCATCCCCTCTCCTCAGGCCTTCACAGTGTTCACAACACAGCTGATGTAAAAACATGACTTTTAAAATCTCAACCATCTGCTCCATCACGACACATCAGCTGTTTTGGCACCACCAGGTGTAACAGGCGCAGAACGTTTGAACACTTCTGTCTTTCCAGTTCTCGTTTGATCTGGTTTGTATTTTTCCCTGTAGGTGGACAGCTGCACCGAATCTGCCGAGGCGGCCTGCGATATTCTCTCCCAGCTGGTGAATTGCACCATCAAGACTCTGGGTCTGATTTCTACAGCTCGGCCCAGCTTCATGGACGTGTCCCAGGTGAGACTCAGCTCGCCATGCCTGCTGTTTGCACACTGAGCTTGTCGATCAGATGGATTATTGCATCTCAGTTCTTTGCAAAATGGCAAGTCAAAAAATGTCCTGACCCAACCATCGCTTTCTCCTCCACAGGCCCACTTTGTGTCAGCGCTAACAGTCGTGTTTGTGAACTCCAAGTCCCTGTCCTCCATCAAGATTGATGACACACCAGTGGACGATCCATCCCTGAAGGTGTTGGTGGCCAACAACAGTGACACCCTGAAGCTGCTGAAGATGAGCAGCTGTCCACATGTCTCCCCCGCAGGTAAGTTCCTGTAAAAGTGCATTTTCCTTTCTTCTTTATTGGTTAGTGTGAAGAAAAGTGTGAATTACTCCAGTCTGTCACTCGTCAGGGATCTTGTGTGTAGCCGATCAGTGCCATGGCCTCAGAGAACTGGCGTTAAACTACCACCTCCTCAGTGACGAGCTCCTGCTCGCTTTATCCTCTGAAAAACATGCCCATTTGGAGCATCTCCGCATTGATGTGGTCAGCGAGAACCCCGGCCAGACGCACTTCCACACCATCAAGAGGAGCAGCTGGGACGCTTTGATCCGACACTCGCCTAAGGTCAACATCGTCATGTACTTTTTCCTTTATGAGGAGGAGTTTGAGCCCTTCTTCTGTGAGGAAACTCCGGTCACACACTTGTATTTTGGGCGGGCGGTGAGCAAAGAGATGCTGGGCCGCATCGGGTTGAACTGCCCTCGCCTGGTAGAGCTCGTGGTGTGCGCCAATGGCCTGGAGCCGCTGGATGAGGAGCTGATCCGCATTGCAGAGCGCTGCAAGAGTCTGACGGCCATTGGGCTGGGGGAGTGCGAGGTGACCTGCAGCGGGTTTGTGGAGTTTGTGAAGATGTGCGGCGGTAGGCTGACGCAGCTGTCGATCATGGAGGAGGTGCTGATCCCTGACAGCAGCTACAACATGGAACAGATCCACAGCGAGGTGTCAAAGCACCTGGGTCGCATGTGGTTCCCTGACATGATGCCGACCTGGTAGACTGATGCAAAACGGAGGGATGGAGTATGGACCAGACATCACCTAAGGACAAGATCTCTTAAAATAAGACACATGTTAAATGTGAACATTTCTGTGTTTGATAGAATATTTCTGAGTGTTTCAGGTCACTTTAAGGCTCAAAAGAAAAAATCGGTCACTTTTTCCCCACAGATACACTTTTACTATTTGCTGTTTTGGACGGTGACAGTCAGGTGTTTGCTGTGTCCTTAGATAACTGAACACTGAATCATTTCTGTCCATCCATGTTGTCTTTCTACAAACTGATATTATTCCTGTTTTCTTGTTATGTCCCTTCATGTCAGTGAGAATCTAAACTGACAGTTGAGTAAGGCTTCCATCTGCTGGCTGCTAATGTTAAATACATCTCATTTGATCAAATTGTTCTGAAGAAGCCATTTTTACCGCCATCTTAAGACAAATCCAACCTCCTACAGTTCTTAGCAGTCAATGCTAAATTATTTTTGTAAAACTTCCCATCAGCAGACATACGGAGACATTTTTGCTAGACTCGACACCTGGATGCACTGGAGACTTTTCACTTGGCTGAACTGAAGCCTAATTTATGCTTCTCTGCCTGCGTCGTCGGGGAGACACATGACGAGGGCTCTCCAACAGGTTTACAAGGACGGGCAGAGTGGAGCCCACATTTATGAACATCTGTTTAACGAGATGGAGCACACAAGCTTGTGATTGGTCAAGATGCCGCTTCCTTTAAACTCAATAACAGCACCGCTATTTCCCCCTCAAAAAATAAAAAGAGAGCTGAAGATATCTAGGGGCAGACATGGAGCCACTTGAGGAATTCCTCACAGAAAAACTCTGGAAATGTGAACGTTTTATTCGCCCGTGACTGGAGGAGTAAAGATGTGCAGCAAGAGTTTTATTTATGGATGGAAATGATGGGAAACGTGGGTTTGGAGGTGGCGAGCGCCTGAAGAGGTGGAGGAGAATGAGGGACAATTTTGTCCATGTGAAGAAGTCTCTGAAATACAAGAAACACAATATAAACATTATAAATCCACCAGATACATGACAGAATACCCCAGAACAGCACTAGGCCCTCTGTTGTCCTGGCAGGGAATTACTTTTCAACACTCCCCAGGTGATGGAGTAGTCCGAAGATAAAACCTCTCCATCAATGTGTGTGCGTCTCTCCCTCCTGAAGCTGACAGAGAAGCATAAACTAGGCTTTAGACGAGCTCCTTACTTACCAGTCCCCATTGCTTTTTCTCAGAACAGAGGCTGTTCATGAAGCTATCTACAATGGGCATGATAGGAAGACTAGGTTTTTACACACACACACACACACACACACACACACACACACACACACACACACACACACACACACACACACACACACACACACACACACACACACACACACACACACACACACACACACACACACTCCCTTAAATTTTGCATTAGGTGTGTATTTTTTCTGCACATGACTCTCCTGGACTCTGGCTAATCGCTCTAGCTGCGGTGATGCCAACAGAGCACAGGTGTTTCTAAAGTCAGACCTCCGTGCAGAACTCAACGTGTACTCTGCATTTTGCTGATTTGTTTTGTGGACTTTTGTGTTTTGCTGTGAACTAACATTTCATTTCATTTGTAATTCTTTTACATTCAAAAGCTTGAAATACTTTTTGAATGTTTGTTTTTATGACTATACACACCTACTGCTTTTCCCTCCTTTTAAACTCAGACTCTGGTTTTCTTTGGTTCACTTTTGCTATTATTTGCCTTTAAAGCGTAAAAATAGACAAATAATAGCGAGTCTTGAACCAAAACATTAGCAGCACATCCACGGATGTAGTTTTTTGTATATCTTATTTTATTTGGGGGGGGGGGGGGGGGGGGACATATCCCCACCACTTTTTCCAAAGTGAATTTTTGTCCCCTGCACTTTATATCATCCATAACAAACATTACACTATATTACATAGACACTGGTTAAGCACTCGGACCAAACAAAAAATAAACAACTGCTTGTGTTGAAGCCTGTTTCCCATTAGAACCATCCATCTCATCTATTGGCTCCGCAGATACTTGCCAACATGTGATTGGCCGTTCCTGCCACCTGTGTACTTGACTGTCTGCAGTCCTGCCACTCCATAAGAGACTGTAGTTTTGTACATATTCTTTGTATACTTACTGTAAAGATAGCATCCACCCCCCCCACCCCCAGTCCTCATACCGGTTGTGTCCCCCCACTTCTAAAGTCAAAACTACGTCCATGAGCACACCCTTTGTGGAGCTGCTGTCCTCTGAGAGTGGGCTGCACCAGAAGTGTTGTTGCCTAGAGGGAATTGTGATGGGTGGAAAGCTTTCAGAAAACATCCAGGATGACAGAAAACATGTTCATAAAGGTGTGAGGCATTGTTAAAGCCTGTCAGATGTAGTGTTGCTTTCTCCGGTTTATTTTTCTGTATTTCTTGTATTAACTATTATTGTTTGTGTCTCTTATTTCTTTATATAAAAATGCATTTATTTAATATATGATACATTGGGAGTCACTTTGTCCCGTGTGACCTTCCCACAGTTCTCCTCTTTGACCTCTAGAGGGCAGCAGACATCCTTCCAGCACTGGAGCGTTATATAAGCAGAGCTGCTACTGTATAATGAAGTATGCTCATGATAAGTCAGCCCTTTTACAAGTGGATTTGCTTGTGCACACTCCATTTCCATAAAGCAACAGACTCCTGCAGCACAGAGGCCTTTTCTACCAAATCTTGTTTCATTTGTTTGTTTGTTCGATTATTGTGGCACGCGCACGCACGCACGCACGCACGCACGCAAGCACACACACACACACACACACACACACACACACACACACACACACACACACACACACACACACACGCATCATACATTCAAAACAGAGATCTGTGACACACATGGCGTTATTTTGCTGTTGTTTGGTGTGAAGATGATATTCAACCAGGTAAGTGTTTTGTTCTGGAAAAGGCCATTTTTGAGGAGTGGGTGGCATGACTAACTGGGTTACCACTGTGTGCTAAAAACTCATCAGGAAAGCATAATGGTACTTTGTTATGAGGAGAGGAAGAAGATGTTGACCTACATGTGTTAATGAAGTAGTTTATTGCAAAATGAACTCCAGCCAGGGAGGAGGAAAAGTGTGTCTCCCTGCTTAGATTACGTTCCCCCCATAAAGAAGACATTACTCACACAAGTCAATTCAGGTATTTACAAATTTCCAAATAAATTATCATCCCAATGCTCTTCGCTCCCCCTCATGTGTGCACAGTCGACTGATGAGTGATGACATTCAGTGAGAAATCGTCTCCCGTGAGATCAAACTCAGGAACATAGTCCACAGGGGTGTCCAGAGTGGGAGAGGGTGGTGGAGACAGCCGGTAGCGTTTGACCTGCTCTCCTCCTCCCCTGAAGCCCCTCCACTCTTGAATCCGCAGAGCTTTTGTATCTGGGTCCCTCCTGTCCAGAAGCCGGCCTTGTAAGAGCGGAGAGGGGGAGATGGAGTTCTTCAGCACGTGAAACATGTACCTGAGGGAGAGAGAGGGTGGCGGTGAGAAAGTAGGCCAGTGGAAAAATAAAACATGCAGGCCTTTGATGTAAATCAGAGCTTATTCTCTAAATATCAGCACTTTCAGAAGCAGGAAGTCAAGTGATGCTGCAGAGGATCCTGAGCATCACTATTAATCTTATTTAATGACAATTCAGCACAGAGTGTTGGTCCCAACTCCATCACACACCTGCACAAGCTAAAACCTAAAAGATGGTTAGAAAATCGGGGTGAAATATCTTGAAAAAAGACGTTCTGCTTATTTTCTGAAAGGTTTAATCGGTAAATGACCAACAAGGGTAATTCTACGAAGTTGTATCATTTACAGGTCAAACCCACGGCCTTTTCTTTTGCTGCTCTAGTTCAGGTTTGGAGGATTTCTCTTTATTCAGAGAAACATGCAAATACTTTAATAACACGAAAAGAGAAATAAATTGAGGGAAGTCATCAATCTGCTGCTTTTGTCTTCTCAAAATCCCTTTTTCACAACATCAAAATGCATTAAATCTCTGTCTCCATGTTGGATTTATGGACAGGGACAGACGCAGGGAGGATGAGGTACCTGGGTAGCAGGGCCGCCACCGTGGAGATGGTGCAGATCAGGTAGAACATGGGATCGGCCATCTGGCTCTGGAGGATCCAGTAGGGATTGGACGGAGGATTACAGGTAATGCAGGTGGCATTGTAGGCAAGAGTAACAATGAAGTACAGCCCCACGCTGCCCAGCATGGTAATCCAGTGGACCAGCGTCTACCAGACAGTAACAGGAACAAAAGTTCTAACAGTGGTAACTCCAAGTCATTTAAATGAATCTGTTTTTATTCGAATTGCGGGATCTTTGACTTATTGGTTAGATCTGAGTTGAGAACTCACCCAGGATTTAATTTCTATTGACAAATGCAGCAAAATGGTAAATAAAGCCACAGTGTTCATTGGAGTCCCAAAGGTGAACATGTCCACATCTGAGTCCTGATAGGCCTAAAAGTCAAAGACGTACTCAGTCAAATGTCAGTAAAAAGATCACAGGATGAAAAACGCCTTTCTTACCAAATAAGGAATAAAAAAGCACACAAGACTCTGATAGAAGGCATCCAGAATGGAAATCCAGAAACTTAGGAAGTTATATTCCTAAAGGAAAAAACAAAAATAATAAACACACGTATTATTTAAAATAATCTCTACACATGTGGAATAGGACTGATTGTTTCTCACAGACCCCTTTTCCTTGACCCATCCTGTACAGCTCAGGAACTCCCATCAGCACCTCTGCAGAAACGTCTTTGTCAAAGATCCCAAACATGATGGGCGGCACAGAGGTGAAGAAAAGGTTGAAGAAGATCATCAGCCAGTAGTCAATCATAGCAGTGCCGGTGAATCCACAGAAGAACTGGTACCAGAACAGGAGGTTCACGTAGGCCTGAAAACATACACAGAAACACACGTTTAAACAAATAACCCATCAGAGCAGAGGTTTGGTAACTAGAGCTCTTGTTAAACGGCTCACCACATTCTTGTAGAAGAAGTGAATGATCATGTTGGCCAGTCGGGTGTAGCACCAGTGTCCGTGAACCAGGAGGAGTTTCCTCAGGTGCTTAAACCGAGATATGGCAAAGTCACTCGCCATGACCGCCTGAGAGTCACAGAGAGGAGTCCTGATGAGTTCAATGACATTTTCATAATGGGAAAAAAGACATTTTACTGCAACAGATATGATATCCAACCTGCATGCCCTCCTGACCGGATATCCCAATGCCAACATCCGCTGCTTGGATCATGTTAACGTCGTTTGCACCATCACCTGAAATCACAACACATGGTTGTATTCACATATGTTTTTTCTAATCTCATTTAAATGAAACATTCTGTCGGTCTTCTTATCTAGCTGTGAAGTAGGAAAGTGGCAGAGCATGCTGCTTTGCTCCAAACAATTGTTCAGTTCATTTGGTTAGAGATTTTTAAAAGGTTGCACAGCTGAAACACTAATTTGCTGCAGCTGCAACTAGAATAAATTTCAATTATTTGATAAAATAAACATTTCTTTTATAATGAGGTATCTCAAGGACAAAAATGCAGCTCCAGAAAATAGTGCATGCTCATTTATTTTGCTTGTAAGCTCGGCTTGATTTAACCTTGTGATTTGTCATAGAGCCAACTAAAATTTTGTAATAAAAAATCGTAACAAAAATATGAGTTAATTTTTGCTATATCAACTGTTTTTTCTTCCGGCTCTCGGAGGGTGCAGACGCTTTTGTCCTCCTCTCCTCCATATCTTGTCGTCAAGGCCTTTGTCTGTCTCTGTGTGCTGGGTGCACGGCTGCTTCTGCATTTTTTCTGGAAACCGGAAACTCTAATTCACTAAAATGGATCTCGTCAGTTGGTCTCTCAACGCGATTGATAACATTTTTTCAACGATGAGAACGGGAGAAGGGGCTCCCAGATGCCCCTCCGGGACAGACCCAGTTGGACACATCATGGACTCCTGGAAACAGTGGAACTTGATCTGTTTATCTCAGCTGTCTGTGGAGGACTCTGAAGACGTGTGGATATTTGTGGTGTTGGTGTCGGGTTTCCTGCTCAATGGCCTTGGAGGCTACCTGGCTTACTGGAAAATTAATGAGGTGTCGAGGAATATTGGCCTGGTCCCTGAGCTCAGAGATGGTTTGCACTGTGCTGTGAATTCACAGACTCACATTATTGTCCACATGAATCGTAAGCTTGAAACTTTGGCCGAGATTCATTCTTTGGCACAGAAGATGGATGCCATCAAGGATAGAGTGGACGAATCAGCACGGATTGGGATAGTTTAATGTCCATTATTGGGATTTTGAGAGGTTGAGGACCAAGGAACTGTAAGACAGAGAGGAAATTATCTCTGTCTGGCCCCGAAACAATTTCTAATCGGAATCTGGCGCCCTTGAGCCTGCAAGGCTCCAATGAAAACTCCCCCCTCAGAAGATAAGTGGAATGTGCCGTCGCTATGGCAACTCAACTCTGTCTCCTATCCCAGCCTGGACGGGACTGCGGGAAGGCCGCTGAATCATTCCAGGGTCACTGCACACTCCAACCCTCAATGCTCCTCTCCCTATCCACACTGAGGTGACATGCGCTGCTTATCGTGGCTGCAGGAGCTGAAGTAGGGATAGTCCCAACCCACCACCCCACCTAGTGGACACTTATGTTGTATGATGTCTGAAGTCTGTTGCATATCTGTCTGAGGTGTTTTTTTGCAGAGCAAAGCTGCCCTCCCTGTGGAGGGTAACTCTGAAGTGCCTTTTTTTCCCTCCACCTGAACCAATCCTCATGTAACCCTCTTATCTCTATTAAGGTAGTGCAACTCAGGGTTGCAAATGACCACAGTCACCAATTCTTGTCACGTGTCTTTGCCTATGTATGTCTGATCTCTGAATTGTGTGTACTGAAACTCTAATTTCCCTCTGGGATTAATAAAGTTTCTTTGGTTGATTGATTGATTGATAGGTTGTTTGAGAGATCTTAAAATTACTAACTTAACATATGTTAACCACATGAATTTTACTTATTCCAAACTGTTATTGATTAGCTGAGTAATGTTTATTCTGAGGTCTCCACTAAAACAAACACTGCTGTAAAATACAGTTTGCAAACCATCATCATTGAAAATGTTATGTTTTTACACAAATATATTATTAGAATTAAGCTAAAATGTTTTATAGTAGCAACAAATCTAGCATGCACAACTGTGCATTATGTTGTAAATGATTTTTATTAAACCGACTTTAGAGGTTGGTTTTATTTTGGTCCAGTATTGTTTACATAAATTGGATATGTGCAGCTTTTTTCTGGCTGCAGGTGTTCTTTGTTGTTTGTGATGGATAGGGAGCCTGAGTCACGCCCATCTACTTCCAGACCATGGGTCCCCGGAAGAACAAAAAAATTAATGCAAGTCAGTGGGGCTAAAAAAGCTATTTTCCGCTTGTTTTGTGCCATGGATTTCACGTATGATGCCAGTGAATTTAAAAAAAGCATTTTGATACCAAGAACACACTTATTTTTGAACGGGGGGGGGTGGGGGGGTGGGGGGGTGGGGAAGAAGAAGACAAAACTTTAGGTTTTGTGTGAAAACACGTCCAGGACTACACAAAAGTGACATCATCAAACCAAACACCGAGAAAACGGAGGGAAAATGGTTGTAAGTTCAGCAAACTTCGAATCCTTCCTTCAGGAGGAAAGAACCACCGTAGTAGAGCTACGGTGGGGGGGGGGGGGGGGGGGGGGGGGGATATTGTTAAAAATAAATAGAAAAGTACAAGTAAAAGTAATTAAAAATGGTACAAAAGGTAGAGATACAAAAGGCAGGGTCAACGATTTTGGGGGACAGTTAGTAGATGAAAGTGAGTTTTCAGGCGAGACTTAAACTCGTGTAGAGAAGGAGCTGGCTTCACTGTCAGAGCGTCATCGGTCATTCTGACCTTGTACTAGAGTAGTGCAAGCACGATCCACAATAAGATGGACCAATTCCTGTCTTAGAACAGAACCAATGCTCCTCCTCACCAAGAGGTGTATGGTTCAGGTCTAATGGTTAGTCAACCAAACTGTGGAATGCTGGAGAGACAATGTCTCTGAGTGTCCTGATGTCCCACCAGAGGAGCTGGTGAAGGTGAGAGAATGGACTGGGCCTGCTGCCGCCCAGAAAGGGACCCAGATAAGCAGGAGACGATGATTGCGAGTTCCTTAGGTGTGTTTTAGCTTTGCTCTGCAAGTGAAGATGCTTTGTTCATTTCTATATGTTGATGGTTTAACTGTTAAACCCAAACTGGTCTCTTTATGTTTAGATTCAATTCAAGAGTTTTGAAAAACAGTACATGTGCTCAAACCCAGCAGGAAGTTCTAAGGTTTATAATCTTCTAGTCAAATATCAGGATAGAACAACTCTCTTGTGCGAGGATGTAGTCTGAAAATAGGAGATGGTTAATAAAATATCTTCTATTTCACAAAATATTGGTGGACATTCCACTGAATGATTGGAAATCTTACATGTAAAAACTCTAAAATGTAAACGAACATTTTGCTCGGATTTTGGACTTTCTTACCAACAGCAAGCGTCATGACTTTGAGTTTCTCTCGTATGAGTTTCACCACTTCACTCTTCTGTAGGGGGGTGACCCTGCAGCACAGCACGGTGCGGCAGCGCTTCGCCAGGTCCACAAACCGGTCCTGCAGGTCCGGGGACAGAGCCATGGACACGGTGTTTCCATCGATCACCAGGGCGATGTTCTGGGTGGTGTCCACGTTACAGGGGTCCTCCTCGTACCTCCTCACCTCCTCCAGAGTGCAGTCCAGGATGGATGTACATGTCAACTGAATAAAGTAAAAATGTTTGAGCTTTACGGTTCTAAAAAAAAAAAATCAATAAACAGTAACATTTCAGAGAGTAATATTTTTTTGGGGGGGAGGGGGGGGCATAAAGAAATTTGCTGTCTCCTGTTGTTTTGCTACTTGCAGGATGGGCCTCCAGCATGAGCAAGTTAAGTGAAAAACCAGCTGATCAGAGGTAGATGTCAGCATATCAGTAAATGAACTCATCACAGTGTTTCCCCAAGGAATTTTTCCAGCTGTGATGGAGGTGGTGTTGGCGGGGGGGGGGGGGGGGGGGGGGGGGGGGGATTATGACACGTCTCACCTTTATGTTAATATTGTTTTATTTGATGCACTCCACTTTGAACTGCACCAATCCAGCGACTGCTGCATTGTAATGACTAGTATTAAAGGTGAGTTCACCAATATTTGCACAATAATAATTTCTGTTAGTGACACACTTTGCAGAGTGGCTTTGGCATTAAATTTTTCTTGGCGTCTGGAAAAACATCTTCTTTTGCCCCCTTTATTTTGGTCCAAGATCATTACTGGGCTGGCCTTATTAAAAACGTTCTACACCCCTGCTTAGTAGACTTAATGAAGTATTTTTAAGCCAGTATAAAAATGACTGAAATACAAATTTACATATTTGGCATTATTGACCAATATTTTTGATTTAATTTATTTGTTAAGAACATCAAGATGCATTTCAGTGAACATTATAATAAGCTGGGCAGACACTGCGACTTTTTCACTCGTAACACAGCTTCAGCTCAAACTTTACGACTTCAGCGCAGGGTAGATCTCACGAGTCATGTGCTCACACTGTACGTCTGGTAGCAACACGTCGGACCTAAAATACGCTAAAAATAGCAGTTTTTACACAACACGTCAGACTTTTTTGTCTTGTTTTGCCTGTTGTCCTTCGGGAGTGCTGCAGGAGGACACACAGGGATTTATGGGGGTTGGATGAGGAAACGAAATAAAGAAAGTAAATCTGTGTTTTGTGATCAGTTTAATTTGACATGAACACGACAAACACACTTTCTTGACAATCATTGTGAGTAAAAAAACGTGTAGAAATAAAAACGAACAACGTGTGTTATGGGGGAAATAGCGGGTGAGCGGAGTTGATGCATGATTGCGAATGCGCCGTGAGCGGTTCTGGTACTTTTTGGGTCGCAGCTGCGCGCTGCGCTGCTTCAACCCTCATGAGGAACGAGATAAATATTAAACACTCCAGAAGTCCGTGCGAGCTCACGATTGCTGATCAGTAGCTGGTCACGTGGTGTTAATCGCCTCTCGTAACCCCCGTACACTACACGACGCTCAGTGCAAAACTCGCCCCGATCTTGTGGATTCTCGCACGAGTGGAAAATCTGCTCAAAAAAGTGAAAAAGTCGCACAGTGTCCGCCCGGCTTACTGTCTGTGTGTGTGTGTTGATGCCTGGGCCGAGCTGACAGAGCTCCCGGCTGCAGTTTTGTGTGTAGGGAGGGGCGGGCGCTCTGACTGGCCAATCACAGAGCGTGAAGACAGTCAGTTACCCAATGAGGACTTCATTCAGCACGATTGCAAATATTTTCGAGTTTTACACTCGTTTCATGCTCGTATTCGTCAATAATGCTTTATCCGTACGCTCATAACCACCCTGCCCTGCCTCCTCCTCCTTGCTACCTGCCGGCTGTGATCACAAGCAACAACACAGTAGTTCCCGCTGCTTCTTTGGGAAACGGCGCAAAAAAAAAACCATCAATAAAACTTGGGATGTTGTCAGCGTGGCGGTGGGATTTCAGCCGTGGCGGCCCGCCACGGCTACGCCTATGTAAGGGAAACCCTGCATCAACGCAAAATCCTGCCATTTTCTTTTCCAACTAACTTCTTGTTCCCGAAACAGGAGCACCAGAGCTCTTCCCCAAAGAGATTAACTCACAAGGCACTCATTTATACTAGAGACCAATGCAGATGTGTTGAAAAAAAAAACCCAGTGAACTTGGTCTTTAAACAAATAGAGTTCGAAAAGGTAAAGCACTACAACATTTCTGGAACCTTTAACGATGAACAGAAAACACAGTTTATAAATATGATATCAAAATAAAATGTCACTATATTAACAAGATGTGGAAGCTGTTACAAATCCAAAAAGTTTCCATCAAAATAATATAAAATATAAAAAATAAACACAAAGCTGTTGATTTATTTTCTGTCACTCAGCTGTGATCAGCAGCAACACAGAGACAATGGTAACTGCTGTATCAGTGGTGAACCCGGATGAATATCCGTCATATTTACCACCTAAAACCGATGCACGTGTTTTTAAATCATTCAAAGAAGTTAACTTCAATCTGCTGCTCATCTGAAGTGTTAAATAGATTTATAGATGTTTAATAAAAACATCCAGTCTGCCTAACAATTGTTAAACTGGCCACCTTTTAGCTTTTTAAGGATTTATGATTTCTCAAAGTAACATGTCCTTAAAATAATATATATTAGTAACAAAATAGCTGTTGATGCCTTTTCAGTAATGATGAGTAAGAATAATACTTAGACTAGGATCAATGATACTGTTGCTGTGTGAAAATAGAAATGGGGCTAAAAAAGGTGTGATTCTTGATTAAATGTTAAAAGGGCTTGCCACAGAGGTATGAGGGCTACAAGTTGATGCTTTATTCATTAGCTGCTAGGTTACTTTCACGTTTTTTAAGCAACAGCTCTGTTTCCTTTTACTTTAACAAAATGCACCAAAAGCTTAGATTTTTTTTCAGTCTGCCAACTTGGAGAATTTTGAACAAACTGTGACACTCCAGTAGGGAGACGAGCTGCAACTCCTTAGCAGGGACATTTTATTGGGAAATTCATGAAATTTAGCAGAGAAAAAGAGGTTTTTCAGCGCCTGTTCAACAAGTGGTGTGGCTATAGGGCTTGTGATCACACGTGATTACGCATGGCATGCTGGGATGTGTGCGGCCATGTTGGAAGACTGACGAGCGTAAGCACAGAGAAGAAGCGGATGTGGGTGAAAGAAAGTGTTAAACTACATTTTAAAATCCCCCCAAAAAGGATGCGCAATATACAGGGATAGGTTAAATAAAGACGTCGGGGACTGGTGTGTGGACAAAATCAGCATTATAAATGTTTTTTATCCACATGAAAGACCCAAGACCGGAGCACCGATGACATATTGTTGCTGCTGCAGTTCTGCATAACGGACATTTCCGGCTTTCTTGTTCGTGGTGTGAGCGGATGCAAATATCCGGATGAGAGGTAAATGTTTAATTTGCAAGTTTTTCTAGTAAAACAATCAAAATTGTCATCTCACAGAAGAAGTGTAGCGAGAGAAGTTGTGTTGTGTGTCAGCGCGCCTGCATTAGCTTACCGGTGTGTGTGTGTGTGTGTGTGTGTGTGTGTGTGTGTGTGTGTGTGTGTGTGTGTGTGTGTTTCGTGTGCATGTCGCGGTTGAAGGAAAGAAACGATGTTTGAAAAACGTACACCATCTGTAACTTACCAGAATGAAAATACTCCGGAAGGTGATGTTTAGTTGCCTTATAGCTGCGATCCAAGCAGGGCCAGATTAACACTTTGTTGTACCCTGGGCAACAATATTCAAGGGCCCCATCATCACGACCCAAGGATCACCATAATATGGTCACATACAGAATATTTTACTGTAATATGCAGTAAATATACTCAATATTTGAATGCCTGACATCACGTAACCCACTCAGGGTAAACTTTGACCCACCTCGTGTGGACTGACCAATGAGGAGAGGGTCTTAACTTGAGGCCCTCTCTTCATTGGTCAGTCTGCATGAGACTGACTCTCAACTGACGTTCAAAGTCATAGGCAGCGAAACGTCTCTGTGCAGCGCAAAAGCCCGGGTGGACAGTTTGTTTAATACAGGGTGATCATATTTCCATTTACAAAAAGGAGGACAAGGGATCTGTGCCTATGACGTCACACTATGGCAACGCCACACAAACCTTGTTGGGACCCATTTTTTGTAAGAACTAAATTAATATCAGATTCTGCCAATAAAAGGGCTCTAAAACAATTCATATGTAAATATTTTGCATATTTATTGCAAAATCTAATTTTTCTGCTTTAGTGCTGCAACAAGGTTTTATTAATAATAAATTATTATACCTTTTGTTTTACTACAGCATCGGTAAGCTTCCTGTGCACAGATTATTAAGGATGCTTGTTTCAGCTGTGAGATTAGACGATAGGATCAATGAAAAAATAAGTTGTCACACACGCCATGGAAACTTTCAGAGAATCCACAAATAGTGGCTTTCAAATGGTTTTGTTACTTTTTGCAAGTTTATAAAATAAGCAGATGAGACAGCATGTCTGATAATTTAGTTTTTCATCTGATAATATTAGAACATGTCAGTAATGTCTGAGGGGCTTTTATAAACACTGTATAACTAACACTCCTGGAGAGGGTATGGATTACACAGAGGCTTCTGGGGAGCCCAGTTATTGGGGGTGGGGGTTCATTTTGCCTTGGCCCCCAAAATGTCTTGAAACGGCCCTGGCTGTGTGACTGAGTTTTGAAGGTGATCTGAATTGTATCAGATGTATAAATATGACATGTGTATAACTTATTGTTTTATACAGGTAAAAACTTGTAGTGGAGATAAATCTACCTACATTTTACTTTTCAACACTTTGTTTTGTTTTTGTTTTCTTGTTTTTATTTAACCATTTTCCTGTCCTGTCTGTCTCTCATCTTCCTGCATCTGCTCTAAAGTCTCCAGAAAAACTGCTGCCTGGATTCTTACTTTTTCACCTCATCAGTTACTTTTGAGCAGATCAAAGGGATCTCCTGATCGTAAAGCGGAGAGTGCGTTTCGATGCTGCGTCAGTGAGGTGGAGTCACCGCAGCACAGGTGATGAGCTCCGCAGTGGCAGCGGGCTTCAGGCGCAAATAAGACAGAAAATAGAGAACATGTGCGGACATGAACGATCGTGTGCTAATTATAGATTTTTGGTTGCGCCACT